CAAAGTCCAAACTTCACAAGACTTCACTGAGCTTTGCGGAGACTAAGACCGGGGTAAAACCATTAAACCATGTCTGGCTCAAAGTTCCTCATAATTTCCTCCTAATTATTATTTCTTGATCCTCTTCTGCTGCTGGTCCATGGAGCATGTATAGACTCTGTCCTTCACCCCTCCCCCCTGCCCCCACCAGGCTCCTGTCCCGGGCCCCTGGTGTCACGGGGCCCTTTGTTCCGCCGGTGGCCCACAAAAACACAGATGGAGAGAGTGGGTCTATCAGCAGCCGCTACATCTATCTAACAGCATGGAGCTATTGTTCGCCAATGACAGCAGGGGCATAACTGAGCACCATCAAACTGCACTGTAATTAGCAATAAAAAAGCTTTACGTTTTACTTTACGCCTTATAGTCACAGAATTAAACTAAACTTGTGAAATATTATGTTTTATTAAATTGGTATAATTTATGAGTTTTGTAAATAAAAATCTTATTTTTTTAAATAGTTTTTTTGTCTGTCTCAACATAAAGTATGGTCAAAGTAAAATGCGTGGAACAAATCAGACCACAACATGTGTTATCATTAGAAAACATGTTATTTTTTGCACATTGTGAGAAACTGCCCGAAGAGTCACTATTTGACGCTTTCGGCTGAGAGCTAGTACTCTCTTTATCAACTTTCCGTCCAAAAGAAAAAAGCTGACTGATTTATAGATAGATTCTTGATACCCGTAGGAGAAATTCCGGTGTCCAGTAACAGCAAAAATCTAAAATAAAAATGTATCATTCTAAAAAGCTAACAAGAGTAATAATCAGCAACAGCCCTTCAGGTCACAGCAGCAGAGGTGGAGTAGCCTCTGGGTGGAGCAGGACGGGTCACAGCAGCAGAGGTGGAGTAGCCTCTGGGTGGAGCAGGACGGGTCACAGCAACAGAGGTGGAGTGGCCTCTGGGTGGAGCAGGATGGGTCACAGCAGCAGAGGTGGAGTAGCCTCTGGGTGGAGCAGGACGGGTCACAGCAGCAGAGGTGGAGTAGCCTCTGGGTGGAGCAGGACAGGTCTGCTTCACCCAGAGGCCTCTGGGTGGAGCAGGACGGGTCACAGCAGCAGAGGTGGAGTGGCCTCTGGGTGGAGCAGGACGGGTCACAGCAGCAGAGGTGGAGTAGCCTCTGGGTGGAGCAGGACGGGTCACAGCAGCAGAGGTGGAGTGGCCTCTGGGTGGAGCAGGACGGGTCACAGCAGCAGAGGTGGAGTGGCCTCTGGGTGGAGCAGGACGGGTCACAGCAGCAGAGGTGGAGTAGCCTCTGGGTGGAGCAGGACGGGTCACAGCAGCAGAGGTGGAGTGGCCTATGGGTGGAGCAGGACGGGTCACAGCAGCAGGCAAGGCAAGGCAAGGCAAGTTTATTTATATAGCACAATTCATACACAAGGCAATTCAAAGTGCTGAACAAAACAAGAAAGCATTAAAATCATAAATTATCACAGAACATTAAAAAGAAAGATACAAATATAAAATCCCTCAGTTGTATGCACAGCTAAACAGAACTGTCTTTAACCTGGTTTTAAACATTGTCAGAGAGGAGGCCTGTCTCACATCTTCAGGAAGACTGTTCCAGATTTTAGCAGCATGAATCTGAAAAGCAGCCTCCCCATGTTTAGTTCTGACTCTGGGCACTAACAGGAGTCCAGTCCCTGTGCTCCTCAGAGTCCGGGCTGGTTCATATGGGACTAACATGTCACTAATATATTTTGGTGCGAGGCTATGGAGAGACTTGTACACAAGTAGCCTGGCCTTTGCCATCCGTAAACTCCGGTCAAATCTTTTTAGTACGAGGGTATGGTAAAACCAGGCTAGTACACAAGCAGAGCTGTTTTAAAGTCTATTCTCTGAGCCACAGGAAGCCAGTGCAGAGACCTGAGAACTGGACTAATGTGGTCGTACTTCCTGGTTCTAGTCAGGACTCGAGCTGCTGCATTTTGAATGTACTGCAGCTGTTTTACAGCCTGTTTGGACAGACCTGTGAGCAGGCCATTGCAGTAGTCTAACCTACTGGAGACAAATGCATGGATAAGAATCTCCAGGTCTGCTTTAGACACTATGTTTTTGATCCTGGCAATGTTTTTTTAGATGGTAAAAAGCTGCTGATGTTACTGATTTGATGTGGCTATTAAAATTTAAGTCTGAGTCCAGTATTACCCCTAGATTTCTGACCTTGTTTGAAGGTTTTAGGGAGAGAGACTGTAGGTGACAGATGACGCTCTCTCTTTGTTTCTGGGGACCAAAGACAATCATTTCAGTTTTGTCTGCGTTTAGCTGAAGGAAGTTGTTTTGCATCCACTCACTGATCTGTTGGATACAGTGAAGGAGTGAGTCCACTGGTCCATGTTCTCCTGCAGTCAGTGAGACATAGATCTGAGTGTCGTCTGCATAGTTATGATAGGAAACTTTGTTTCTGCGTATTAACTGACCTAACGGCAGCATGTAGAGATTGAACAAAAGAGGTCCCAGGATCGACCCCTGTGGGACTCCACAGGTCAGGGCCATATGATCTGAGACACAGTTTCCAATCTCCACAAAGTACTTCCTGTCTTCAAGGTAAGACCTAAACCAACTTAGGGCGGTGCCAGTGACGCCAACCCAGTCCTCTAGTCTCTGTAAGAGGATCTCATGGCCGACAGTGTCAAAGGCAGCACTTAGATCTAACAAGATTAAGATTGAGACTTTGCCTGCGTCAGTGTTCAGCCGGATATCGTTTGTAACCTTAACGAGAGCAGTCTCAGTGCTGTGGTGGGGTCTAAAGCCGGACTGAAACATATCAAATGAGTTGTTGATTATAATAAATCTATATCTATATAATAAAGCTGTAGGTAGACAACTTTCTCAAGGACTTTCCCCATAAATGGCAGATGTGAGATGGGACGATAGTTGTTAAGTACCGTAGCATCGAGACTGCTCTTTTTTAGCAGGGGCCTGATGACTGCAGTTTTCAGGGCCTTTGGGAATATTCCAGAATGAAGGGACATGTTTACTATCTGTGTGAGTGAAGGTAACAGACTGCTCAGAACAGACTTCAGAAATCTAGTGGGTAGTACATCCAAGCTGCATGTGGAGGAGCTCAAACTGGAGATTATCTCTTGGACAGTTTTATCATTTACAGGTGCAAAGTGAGTTAGCTCAGAGAGCCTTTCTGGCTGTTGGATGGTTATCTGTGGATTGGAGACAATGGCGTTTTTGATGCCTTGAACCTTGTCATTGAAAAAATTAGCAAACTCATTGCATTTACGTTTGGAAGTAAGTTCTAATGGCATCTGAACAGGGGGGTTTGTTAATCTATTAACTGTTGAGAACAGAACACGCAGATTGTTGCTGCAGCCTTCAATCATTTCAGAAAAATACCTTTCTCTCGTACTACGTAGCACCCGGTTAAACTCGCACAACTTATCTTTGAAGATCTCGTAATCTACCTGGAGGTTGGACTCGCGCCACTTCCGCTCGGCCCTCCGGCACTTTCTCTTTTGTGCCCTGACCGAGTCTGCTTTAGCCCACGGCGCCTTCTGCTTATTTTTCACTATTTTAACCTTCACAGGGGCAACGGTATCCAGAACATTCAAAACACTAGAGGTGACAGAGTTAAACAGTTCATCTACAGTAGAATACGATGCATTCTCAAAGTTTATCATTTCCATAAATAGTTCACTCGTATTTTCATTTATGCGCCTTCTTCGAACAGTTGCAGAGTCCACTGGTGGTTTGTTAGTGAAACACATGTCAAAAAAAACACAGAAATGATCCGAAAGAGCAACATCGACCACGTTTACATTTGAAATAATCACCCCTTTGTAACTAACAGATCTAGAGTGTGCCCTCTGCTGTGGGTGGGGCCACTTACGTGCTGAGTGAGATCAAAGGATTCAAGTACAGAACTCAGCTCATTTGCATTTCTGTCATCAACATTATCCACATGAATATTAAAATCACCTGTAATAACCAAACTATCAAAATCTGTGCATACAACTGAAAGCAACTCGGTAAAATTATCAATAAAACTGTGACATGACTGCGGTGGCTTGTATAGGACAATGAAGAGTATTGGAGGAGATTGTTTTTGTTGTATTTTAAAAGACACATATTCAAATGACGAAAACTTCCCAAGAGACATTCTATGGGAGACAAAGTGGTCTCTGAAAATGGCAGCTAAGCCTCCTCCTTTTTTGTTTTTCCGTATTTCAGATTCAAACTTGAAATTTGGTGGTGATGCTTCTATTAAAACTGCATTTTCTGAATTTTGGTCAAGCCAAGTTTCAGCCATGAACATAAGATCAAGATTATGAGAACAAATAAAATTATTGATTAAAAAAGACTTGTTACGGGGGGCGCTAGTGAGCGTAGCCATGTGAAGTTGTTTTTTTCCCGAGCTCCTCCGCATGGTCTAGATTTTTACATTTTAATAACTCCAAAGTGGCCCCGAACCTACCCCAAAAACTACCTAAGGTTGTAAGGACCAAAACCGATTCACATTTGGATTTCATCTACTCAAATTTCGGAAACGGTGGGTGGATCATGAGCAAAAACAGAGGCCAGAGAGACCAGGCCGCAAAAGCCCCGGATCCGCCTGCGGCTGCTGCTTCCCCGGACATAAATGTGCTAATGGAGGCTATTGCTAATTCAGAGAAGACAATACTGGAGCGAATTGATTCAAGCACGAAAGACCTGAACGACAAGATAGACACTATCAAAGAAGATATAGTGAAGCAGGACACCCGCTTGCAAGATGTCGAATCTGGTTTGAATGTCTACTCGGATCGCACAGAGCAATTGGAGGATGGTGTTAGCGTGCTGCGGGCGGAGGTGGCTCGGCTAGCTAACAAGCTAGATGACCTGGAGGGGCGTCAGCGCCGATGCAACGCACGCATCGTCGGGGTGAAAGAAGGCTTTGAAAACCCCCGGAAAGCCGACAGATGTTATTGCCACCATGTTAAAAGACGTACTGGGTCTCGGATTCACCCCTATGCTGGACCGAGCCCACCGCGGCCTGCAGCGACCGGCCCAAAATGGAGACCCTCCCAGAGTGATCGTGGTAAAATTTCATTACTTCCAGGAGAGAGCAGAAGTGTTTAAAACAGCCGCAAACTCGTCGCCACTGAAACTACAGGGTCGGAGAATAAGCATTTTCCCTGACTACACGGCTGATGTGGCCAAAAAGAGAGCTGCTTTCAATGAGGCCAAGCAACTGCTCCGTAGCTGTGCTGGTGTCAAGTTCGGGGTTCTGTTCCCAGCGGTCCTACGAGTCACTTCAGCAACAGGGCAAGACAACCGGTTCACCGACCCATCGACGACAATTGACTTTATCAAGAATAACTTACAGCCATAAGGATTAATGGCACGCATATGTGCGAAGACAAAAGTGCTTGAATAAGACTGGAAGGTGAAGGGACATCATCCTACTGCATTGGACTCGGAGCAGAGTCTACATTATCCCTTTGCCTTACTTCCTATACCAAGGTATCGTTTGTTATTAACGGGGACGTTGCGCCTTTTGTGAAGTTTATTTTTACACTAAGTTATGTTAAATACTGTTACCATTTATGATTCATTGACTGTCACTTTTGTTACATGTGTATGTTATGAGGACCCATGTTGACAGGTTTTGTACCTGGGGGGACGAATTAAGGAGTGACACTTACCCTGGGTTGCGGGGCTGTTAACAGTGCACTGGAGTTAATAAAGTTTACAGTAAGCAACTATACTGCTTTAACCGTCCATTCTGTATAGGACCAGGACAGAATGAAACATGGTGGCAGCGGGTGTTATTCCCAGTAGAGGAATTGTGCCGTGAGTGAAAGTACTGCTGGTTTGCAGCTGTTAGCCTAGCCCGAGTACGCACGAGGTGAAGTCGTCGTGTGATGTCGACTGCGGAGGTGAAGAACGAGCCGAGAAGAGCCGCGGACTTCGCCATGGAGGGGTTAAGACCACCACCGACACTTTGTATGGACTCTACGAATCTAGCAAAGACATGGAAGAGTTGGAGAGAAGAGTTCACATTGTATACGGACCTCACCATGCCTGACGCAGAGGAGACAACGAAAGTCAAGTTGTTTGTCTACCTCCTCGGAGAGAGAGGAAGGGAGCTTTTGAATACGTTATCAGGCAGTGGATCCTCCGCGAGTGCAAGAAGGACCGTAAGTTCGATGATTACGCTTATTGATGAACATTGTAATCCAAAACTGAATGAGACAGTTGAGAGATACAAGTTTTTTGTCAGAAACCAAACACAAGATGAGAATATTGACAAGTATGTCACAGATTTGAGAGTTTTGGCCAGCACGTGCAACTTCGGAAATATTAAAGACTCACTAATAAGAGACCGCATAGTTTGTGGTACGAACAGCTCTGCTATGAGGGAAAGACTGTTAAGGGAAGGAGACTTAACACTGGACAAATGTGTACAAATATGCAGAGCATCCGAACTGTCTAAGGAGAACAGTAAAACCATACAAGGCAGAACACTGGAAGAAATACATACATTGAAATATGGTCCAAGAAAGGACATAAAGGAAGAGATCTGCTGCAACTTTTGTGGGAACACACATGAGAAGAATAAACGAAAATGTCCGGCTTTTGGGAAAAAGTGCAAGAAATGTGGAAAGGAGAACCATTTCGCCGTGAAATGCAAGTCAAGACAAGACAAATACAAGAAAAGCAGACAAATAAATGCAGTTTCAGAGTCCAGTGATTCATGTGAGGACATTATGACAATAACAGAAGTGTGTGATAATCAGGAGAATGTAAACCAAGTGAAAGAGGCACACAGTAAGAGCCAGCAGCTCTTTGCGGGTATGCTACTAGACAAGAAGCTTGTTAACTTTCAGATACTTGCAACGTTATCCCAGTACAGAGGTTGAATCCAGACACGCAGCTTGAAAAGACAGAGAAGGTCTTAGTCATGTACAACAAGAGCAGATTGAAACCACTAGGAAAATGCAGAGTCAAACTGCGAAATCCAAGAAATGAAAAATTGTACAGACTGGAGTTTCAAGTGGTTGATCAGGAGGACAGGATCCCCTTACTAGGCAGGAAAGCTAGTGAGGCAATGAGCCTGATCAAAGTTCAGTATGAGAACATCTTGGCTATAGATAGCATTGTAAAAAAGGAATGCTCAGAGAAAACCGAACAGAACAATGAGGAACAACTGAATATGGACAAAATAAAAACTGAGTTTGGAGATGTTTTCACGGGTATAGGCTGCTTAGAGGGCGAGTACAAGATCGAAATCGACAACAGTGTACCACCGGTAAAGTTGCCCAAACGCAGAGTGCCTGTAGCGATGATGGCACCGCTAAAAGAAGAACTGAAAGAACTGGAGGCGAAAGGAAGAATTGCCCCAGTAGAACGCAGCACAGACTGGATCAGCAGCATGGTCTCTGTGACAAAACCAAATGGAAAACCGAGGATCTGCATCGACCCCAAGCCACTGAACAAAGCGTTGAAGAGGAGCCATTTCCCTCTCCCCACCATTGATGACATTTTGCCGGAGTTGTCGAATGCCCAGGTATTCACAGTTTGTGATGTGAAACATGGCTTTTGGCACGTCAAATTGGACGATGAGTCGAGCTACCTCACCACCTTTGCTACCCCATTTGGCCGGTACCGTTGGCTCAGAATGCCAATGGGTATCAGTCCAGCCCCAGAAGTGTTCCAACGGAAACTCATGCAGGCACTGGAGGGCTTGCCGGGGGTATATGTCATTGCTGATGATGTGTTGGTGACCGGTGAGGGAGTGACGCAGGATAAGGCCAATGAGAATCACAATGAGAACTTGCAACGTTTCCTACAGAGATGTAGACAGAAAGACATTAAGTTGAATGTGGACAAATTTAAGTTGAGGAAGCAGTCGGTACCTTACATTGGACATTTACTGACCGCAGAGGGTCTCAGGATTGACCCAGAGAAGGTGCGTGCTATAAGAGTGTTGCCCAGGCCCACAGATGTTAAGGGGGTACAGAGACTTGTAGGCATGTTGAACTACTTGTCAAAATTTTGTGACCACCTTTCAGAGGACTGTGAGGTTTTGCGACAGTTAACGCACAGGGACAATATGTGGGAGTGGACTGAAGTACATGAGAATGCACTGAAGAGACTGAAGGAAAAAATATCAAATGCACCACTACTTAAGTATTACAACCAGAGTGAGGAGCTCACATTGCAATGTGATGCTTCAGAGACAGGACTGGGGGCTGCACTGACTCAGAAGGGTAAACCTGTAGCCTTTGCCAGCCGAGCGCTGACTCCTACAGAGAGGGGTTATGCCCAAATAGAAAAGGAATGTTTAGCCATTGTATTTGGTATGGAAAAATTCCACCAGTATACTTATGGTAGGAGAGTGACTGTACAGAGTGACCACAAACCACTTGAGAATATTGTACGAAAGCCGCTACTTAGTGCACCAAAGAGATTACAGAGGATGTTGTTAAGACTGCAGAAATATGACATTAATGTGATCTATGTTCCAGGACGAGACATGCTTCTAGCTGACACACTTAGCCGAGCATACTTACCGGACACTAATCAGGGAGACACGGAGTCAGAGTTAGAGACTGTGAACATGATAACATATTTGCCCATTTCCAGGAGCTCCCTCCTGGACTGCCACCTTAACGTGGTGGGGGAGTTTGAGTACTCGGATGATCCTGGGAGCTATGCTGTCTGGGGCTTCATGCCCCTGGTAGGGCCTCCCATGGCAGACAGGTCTCAGGTGACGAGTCAGACAAAGAGCAGCCCAGAAGACACCATGGACAGCACTAACACGAAAACAGTGACGTCGCCCGGCATGGCGCAGCTGGGGCCCCACCCTGGAGCCAGGCCTGGGGTCGGGGCCCGTATGCGAGCGCCTGGTGGCCGGGCCTTAGCCCACGGGGCCCGGCCGGGCTCAGCCCGAAGGGATGACGTGGGCAGTCCCTCCTGTGGGCCCACCACCTGCAGAGGGGTCCGTGGTGAAGCGGTGCAGAGAGGACTGGGCGGCAGTCGAAGGCGGAGACCTCGGCGACCCAGTCCGCACACACAACATCTGGCTCTTGGGACGTGGAACGTCACCTCACTGGGGGGGAAAGAGCCCGAGCTCGTGGGGGAGGTTGAGCGATACCGACTAGAGATAGTCGGCCTCACCTCCACACACAGCTTGGGCTCTGGAACCCAACTCCTTGAGAGGGGTTGGACGCTCCACTTTTCTGGAGTTTCCCGCGGGGAGAGGCGGCGAGCTGGGGTGGCCATTCTCATTGCCCCCCATCTCAGCCGCCACGTGTTGGAGTTCTCCCCGGTGAATGAGAGGGTCGCGTCCCTCCGCCTCCGGGTGGGGGACAAGTCTCTCATTGTTGTGACGGCCTACGGGCCTAACAGCAGTGTAGAGTACCCGGCCTTCTTGGAGTCCTTGGGAGGGGTACTGGACGGTGCACCGCCCGGGGACTCCGTTATTCTCCTGGGGGACTTCAACGCCCATGTGGGAAACGCCAGTGACACTTGGAGAGGGGTGATCGGGAAGAACGGCTCCCCTGATCTGAACCCGAGCGGTGCTCAGTTGTTGGACTTCTGTGCCAGTCACGGTTTGTCCATCACGAACACCATGTTCGAGCACAAGGGTGTCCACCAGTGCACGTGGCACCAGGACACCCTAGGCCGGAGGCTGGTGATCGACTTTGTTGTCGTATCATCTGACCTTCGACCGCGTGTCTCGGACACTCGGGTAAAGAGAGGGGCGGAGCTGTCAACCGATCATCACCTGGTCGTGAGTTGGATCCGCTGGCAGGGGAAGAAGCCGGTCAGACCTGGCAGACCCAAGCGTATAGTGAGGGTCTGCTGGGAACGTCTCGCTGAGCCCCCTGTCAAGCGGACTTTCAACTCACACCTCCGGGAGAGTTTCTCCCAGGTCCCGGCGGAGGAGGGGGACATGGAGTCCGAGTGGACCTTGTTCTCTGCCTCAATCGCCGATGCGGCGGCTCGTAGCTGTGGTCGCAAGGTCTCTGGTGCTGGTCCCGGCGGCAACCCCCGAACCCGGTGGTGGACACCGGCAGTAAGGGATGCTGTCAGGCTGAAGAAGGAGTCCTATCGAGCCATGATGGTTCGGGGGACTCCTGAGGCAGCTGTCCAGTACCGGCAGGCCAAGCGTGCCGCGGCCCGGGCTGTTGCAGAGGCAAAAACCCGGGACTGGGAGGAGTTCGGAGAGTCCATGGAGCATGACTATCGGTCGGCCTCGAAGAGATTCTGGCAAACCATCCGGCGCCTCAGGAGGGGGAAGCAGTTCTTTGCCAACACCATGTACGGTGCGGGTGGAGAGCTGCTGACCTCGACTGGGGATATTGTCGGGCGGTGGAAGGAATA